GCCTCAAAATACTGGCTGGCTTTGAGTAGATGGCCTTCCTGAGCCATGTAGGGCAGGGGCTTTGGTCCTCCCACATGACATGGCTATCAATGGGGTGTCTGGTGCCCACTATTGTGTGGGTGGCCAGGCCCACTCCCTGCCCTGCTTATGAAGCTGAACCGTGATGAGAGAGCACCTGGCAGCAGAAGGCTCAGTCACCCCCAGAGCAGTTGCCGGATGGTAGGGGAGTGTGCCTGGGGCAGGCTGAAGACAAGAGAGTGCTGCCTACAAACCTATCGCTTGTTTCCAGGGGCTGCAGCATACTGCGCAATATACTTCAGGATGCAGGCAAGAGCTGTCACCAGAGGCGGGTCGATGCCTGTGCTGGGTTACAGATGCAGAACAGGAAGCCTGACAGTGCCCTCTGCTCAGTGGGGCTGGGTCTAAGAGAGCAAGGGGTGTGAGGGATGCCCTATGTGCCCCCAGCCTTACCCTGCAGGGGGAGATGAGATCTCATGGAGACACTGGCTCCCCTGTACTGTCCATAGCATAGAATCATAGACTTTAAGGTCAGAAGGGACCATTATGATCGTCTAGTCTGACCTCCTGCACAATGCAGGCCACAGAATCTGACCCACCCACTCCTGTATCAAACCCCTAACCTATGTCTGAGCTATTGAAGTCCTCAAATCATGGTTTAAAGACTTCAAGGTGCAGAAAATCCTCCAGCAAGTGACCCTGGCCCCACGCTGCAGAGGAAGGCGAAAAAACCCCATGGCCTCTGCCAATCTGCCCTGGAGGAAAATTCCTTACCGACCCCAAATATGGCGATCAGCTAAAACCTGAGCATGTGGGCAAGACTCACCAGCCAGACACCAAGGAAAGAATTCTCTGTAGTCACTCAGATCCCACCCCATCTAACATCCCATCACAGGCTGTTGGGCATATTTATCGCTAATAGTCAAAGATCAATTAATTGCCAAAATTAGGCTATCCCATCATACCATCTCCTCCATAAACTTATCAAGCTTAGTCTTGAAGCCAGATATGTCTTTTGCCCCCACTGCTCCCCTTGGAAGGCTGTTCCAGAACTTCACTCCTCTGATGGTTAGACACCTTTGTCTAATTTCAAGTCTAAACTTCCGGACGGCCAGTTTCTATCCATTTGTTCTTGTGTCCACATTGGTACTGAGCTTAAATAATTCCTCTCCCTCCCTGGTATTTATCCCTCTGCTATATTTATAGAGAGCAATCATATCTCCCCTCAGCCTTCTTTTGGCTAGGCTAAACAAGCCAAGCTCTTTGAGTCTCCTTTCATAAGACAGGTTTTCCATTCCTCGGCTCATCCTAGTAGCCCTTCTCTGTACCTGTTCCAGTTTGAATTCATCCTTCTTAAACATGGGAGACCAGAACTACACACAGTATTCCAGATGAGATCTCACCAGTGCCTTGTATAACAGTACTAACACCTCCTTATCTCTACTGGAAATACCTCGCCTGATGCATCCCAAGACCACATTAGCTTTTTTCACAGCCATATCACATTGGCGGCTCATAGTCATCCTGTGATCAACCAATAGTCCGAGATCCTTTTCCTCTTCTGTTACTTTCAACTGATGCGTTGCCAGCTTATAACAAAAATTCTTGTTATTAATCCCTAAATGCATGACCTTTCACTTTTCACTATTAAATTTCATCCTATCGTTACCAAAATATTGGGTCCACCTAGCTGAGAGCCAATAACAGCCAGACAGGGATAAGGAAGGGTTGCTTTATTTTGCAGAAAAAAGGAGAGCCTTGCACCTTGGTACAAAGACTTTGTTTTATACAAATTTTACAGAACTTTTATACACAGACAAAGACTTTTGCCGTGTTAACACTTGATTGGTGGTTGCCAGACCCTGCACTTTTGCTATTTGGTCAGTGAAAACTGGTTTGGAGCCAGTTTTTTCTGCCTTAAGGCAGGGGAGACAAGATAGTTTAAAAGTTTAGGATAGCTGTGTACGTGAGGCGCCTGCTACCACTAATGGCCGTTGGTAGCCATAACGGCTGCTAGATTGTTAAGGAAGGGGGGGGTCACTGCTGACTATTACAGTCCCCCCTTCGGGCCTGACAAACTTAAATTGTCAGGCCCGTTGCGCAATTTACGATTAACCTGGAGGGACAGATACTGGGGGGTTTTCTGGGTAGCAGAGCCTTTTGTGACAGCTTTACACAGACATTTTGCACACTGTAACAATACCCAAATAACACATAAAAAGAAAACAAGGAAAATAATTTATTTAACAATTGTTCGGAAAAGTCCTGTGAACCAGGACCCAAGGTCTGGGAGGAGATTTTTAAAGTTTAAGGTATGATTAAGAGATACAGCATGGAAAACAAAAGCAGCATTTTTAATAGCTTGCAGATTTTTTTTAATTAAGCCAGAGCGATTAATATAAAAACAGCATTTTTTTTAATGCGAGCACAAGCCCCTCCCCCCCACTTTAGCATTTATGGCATTTAACATACGTCTATTTTGCAATGCTAATTTTGCTATTTTATTGATTTTTTGCTGTAACCTTTGAAAGGCGTTTAGGGAGGCATTAGCTGCCTTTTTAAGCTTCGCAGAAATATTTACTACCGCCCTTTTTAATTTTACTACCCCCAGCCCAGGAATAAACGCGCGGACAAAGGAATGAAACCCCGTTTGCCTGACTACCAGGGGATTTTCGGCATGTTTAACTTGAGGTTTTATGGGGCGGGTAAAGAGCTTGTGAGAATAGCTTCCCAGGTTGAGGATCTGACTTGAGTCTAACGTGTGGTTTATTTGGACATCCGGTAGCACCCGGGCCACCTCACAGTGACCTTGCCAACCTGGGGGGAGAGCTTTGTAGGCATTGTGGCCACAGATGAAATACAAGCCGGGGTTTTTTAAATAGAGGGTAAGAATGGTTCCCGCGACCCGATGGCGCCAGGCCACCCTCACATCCCGGTGTTTGGAGTTACCCATGATTCGGTCCTGACACCTCCAGTGGGATACATTTAGGTGCCCTAGGGCATGGGTGTTATTTAGGATGCTTTCACAATATGTAACAGCAAACAACTTGGCTGTGAAATTTGCAAGCATTCCCATGTGTTGGCATCCAGACATTTTTTTAAGGGATGGGTGAGGCAACAGAAGACCAGAGTGAATATTCATATAGTATGTATGCATTTTATTTATGGGGCCTAATGGGAGGAATGAGGGAAGCCACTGCCCTTGATAATACACGCCTGTTGATTGTGTAGTAAAACCCGTACTCAGGTGGCAAGGGGAGTAGCCTTGGGCATTTTCAGGAGTTTTTAACGGATAAAGGGTTTTATTTTTGACATTAAACTGAAGGGTTTGTTTACAGGCTTTAAGGGGAAGATAACCCACTTCCCTTCCAACTTCCTTCATATTTTTTAAGCAAATGGGCAATTTATACACAATCCCTAGGATACCAAAAAGAGGGACCCCCCTTAGCAGCCCAGTAGTAATGCCAAACTTTAGATACCTTCCCATAATTGTTATACTGGTATTCCCCAATTTACGCCCATTTAGTTTTCCGCATTACTTGTAAGGAGAGTACTTCAGAGAGGTTCGCAGGTGCAGCCCACAGTCCTATTTCTTCCTTAGAACAGGTTCGGTGACACAGCCAGCAATCAGACAAGTGTCCCAATGTGGCTAGTCGTTGCAGGGATCCGGCCGCTGGGTGAGGGTTAGCATTTATAAAGGGCAAACTAGAAAGAAGTAGCCACTGCACCACTGTCTGCAAATGTATGGTTATAAAGTCTTAGGATCTAGTCTGCCGGAACAAGAGTTTTAGTCCCTCGAGAGGTTCAGCTTTTTAGGAATCGTCTGCTTCTGGCTCTTCCGGATCGCGGTGGGAAGAGCTGGAGGGGCTTCCTCGAAGTCTGGAGTCGTCTGCTTCTGGCCCCGGCCTAGGGGCTAGCTTGACTCGGGTGTGATGAATCCAAGTGTTTTGTTCCCTCACTCGAATTGCAGTGTGGGAGGTAAGAAGAACTTGGAAAGGGCCCACCCACCGGGGTTGGAGAGGCTCGTGTTTCCACTTTTTTACACAGACCCAATCCCCTGGAGTGATTCGGTGGGCGGGGACATCAGCGGGTAGGGAGTGAAATTGAGCTGCATACCTGTGGAGAGATATGAGAGTAGTTTAGAGGGAAACAACATATCCGGTTAGCTCCTCGTTACCCCAAGTGGCTAAATCAGTCACAGGTCCAGGATCAGCAAATCCGGTGTATGGCTTGCCAAATAAAAGTTCAAAGGGTGAGAGACAGAGCCAGCCTCTAGGGGCAGTTCGAACTGCCAAAAGGGCCGGAGGTAGGGCCTGAAGCCATTTTAACCCAGCCTGTGCACACACTTTTGAGAGTTTATGTTTTAAAGTTTGGTTTATTCTTTTTACTTGTTCAGAAGACGGTGGTCTTCAAGGAGTATGTAGAAGCCAGGTGATACCCAGGGCCTTAGCAATGTGTTGAATAACCTGGGCAGTGAAATGAGTCCCTTGATCAGAGTCAATAGACCTAGGAGGGCCAAACCTAGGAATGACATGGTTTAATAAGGTCTTTCCCACTTCCAAGGCAGTTGCCCGTCTAGTTGGGAATGCTTCGGTCCAGCCAGTCATTTGGCACACGATTACAAGAAGGTACTTGAAGCCTTGGCACTTAGGCATCTCTGAGTAGTTAATTTGGAGCTGTTCAAAGGGCGTGTATGCCCATAATCTTGCTCTGGGGGGGCCTTTCGGTTCCCCCATTGGATTGAATTTTGCACAAATGTCACAGGTAGCAAGGACTTGTTTAGCTTCTTGGAATACCTCAGGGGCATACCAGAGTCTGTTTACAGTAGCTGCCATGGCCTCTACTCCACCATGTGTTTCTTGGTGTAATTTAAGCAGGGCAGGTCGCAGAGCAGCTCGGGGTAGGGCTCTTTTCCCATCAGGTAGTTGCCATTCCCCCTGTGGTGTTTTAGTGGCCCCAATGTTTTTTTAACGACTAACCTCTTATAGTTCAGGAACAAAGGGGACTGGAATTAGTGAGGGGAAGGATGTGAGCACCATTTGATTGGCAACAAAAGGTTGAAGGGAGGCCGTTTTTGAAGCTGTGTCAGCCAGTCGGTTCCCACGGACAGTGGGATCGTCTCCCTTTTGATGGGCCCGGACATGGATGATGGCAATCTTAGATGGCAAATGTATGGCTTTCAATAATTTTAGGATTAAGGGCCCATGAGCTACCTTAGTGCCACTGGAGGTAATAAACCATCGTTTTGCCCAAAGTTGGCCTGTGGCATGGCAGACGCCAAAGGCATATTTTGAGTCAGTATAAATGTTTCCAGACTGACCTGCGGCCAACTCACATGCTCGGGTGAGGGCTATTAACTCTGCTGCCTGGGCTGAGGTAGAGGGTCCCAGAGGTGCAGATTGTAATACCTTAAACTGGGTAGTCACTGCAAATCCGGATATCCGTTGGCCCTCCAAGACTCGCGCAGAACCATCTGTGTACAGTTCCAGTTCAGCATTTGGAATGGGCACGTCTGAACTATCTGGTCGGGGTTTTTCTTGACGATGCACTACTTGAAGACAATCATGTGAGGGCTCATGATCGTTGTCCGGGAAAGGTAAGAGGGTGGCAGGGTTCAAGGTATGGCACTGTTTAATTTTTAAGTTTGTCCTGGATAACAAAGAAACTTCCAAATGCATTAGTCTTTGAGAGGTTAAATGCTGAGTGCCCTTTTGGACTAACAGTTGTTGGGCTGCATGTGGGGTCCACAGGGTCATTGGATGGCCCAAGGTAACCTTCTCTGCTTGGGGTACCAGGAGGAGCGGCACCCAGGAGCCGGCAAACAGGGCTGCTAACAGGGGAGTTTAAGTGGGAGTGAGTCTCATTGGAGGAGAAGGTACCTGTACTTGCGTCTGTCTTTGTAGTGCTTGTGTGTGTGTAGAGGCCTGTAGGGGCAGTGTGCTGGGAGGGCTGCTGAGCCCGGAGCCCTGATTAGGGGGCGGAGCTTGGCTGATATAGGGGCCTATAAAAGAGGCCTCCCAGCCGAGCAGCGGCACAGCTGCGAGGAGCGGCACCCAGGGCTGCTAACAGGGGAGTTTAAGTGGGAGTGAGTCTCATTGGAGGAGAAGGTACCTGTACTTGCGTCTGTCTTTGTAGTGCTTGTGTGTGTAGAGGCCTGTAGGAGCAGTGTGCTGGGAGGGCAGCTGAGCCCGGAGCCCTGATTAGGGGGCGGAGCTTGGCTGATTAGGGGGCCTATAAAAGAGGCCTCCCAGCCGAGCAGCAGCACAGCTGCGAGGAGCGGCACCCAGGAGCCGGCACCCAGGGCTGCTAACAGGGGAGTTTAAGTGGGAGTGAGTCTCATTGGAGGAGAAGGTACCTGTACTTGCGTCTGTCTTTGTAGTGCTTGTGTGTGTAGAGGTGTTAAGGCTGTATCCCCACTTTGAACCTTAGGGTACAAATGTAGGGGCCTGCATAAAAACTTCTAAGCTTATCTACCAGCTT